TCATGAAATTCCGAGAACTTTCTTTCCAATCAGATATTCAGTGACTAACCCTGTTCCAACCACTAATCCAAGTGAAAGCTCAGACAGACAATTCTTCACTTGAATTGTGACTGACATTACAAAGTAGGATTTCAACTTCGCATTTCTGTTGATCATGAGATGCATATACAGTAGTGCTTTTATGTCAAGGTATGCATATAATGTATTTTCATAGGTTGAAACCATTATTAGTGTTGAGTTGTTTTGTATTTATTCAAATTGTGTTCAATCAGTGATGGGCATCACACCTTCAAATTTTACTCATGCTTTTATTAATATGGAAATAGTAGTCAAATGGAAGCAGTTGAACTTCTCCTTTTTGCCCCTCCCCTCTGTATATGCCCATCATTTAAATTTCCATGTCAAAATGATTATTTTAAGAGTTGAGTTCCCCTTTCCCAATGTCTTGATAGGCAAAAACTTCCTTTACCCTCCCAGTCCTCATGATTCAGTCGCAGGATATTTAAATGAGGGTTTGAAAAGCTGCCATATCAGAATCAGAATCCTATTATCTTTGGAGATGGACATGAAAAGTTAATTGTTTATGGGTTGTGAGGTAAGGGGCAGACTTTGCATCCACGTTGGTTGGCCATGTAGATATGAATCAACAATGAAGAAGTAAGGGTTTCTCTGGATGTCTTTTCCATATATCCTGACATGTGAATGACATCAATTGATACTGTGTTTGTGATGTGCTAAGTTGGTCTTCCATTTCCAGCTTTGGGAGTGACAAGTTGAAGAGGGAATTCCTGGCTCCTGCTATCTCGGGTGATGTCGTGACATGCCTGGGTGTGAGTGAACCTCACGCTGGCTCTGATGTCGCTGCCATCAAGGTAATATTGTTATCAATGAAGTTGATACCACTCCAGTAGAAGATATGAGCTTAGCAGACTTTGCTATTCAAAAATAGGGTTTGGAAGTTACTTGTGATGGTGTTCTCAGAGTACTCATTGATGATATTATATCAGTGTGTAATATTATTACATTGAGTGCCTAGAGCACTAAGGACTGATCTTGTGAACATACATATGGGTTTTATATTAATGATGCCATCTCTTTAGACAAAAGCTGAAAGGAGAGGAGATGACCTTATAATCAATGGGACAAAGCTGTGGATAACAAATGGAGCTCATGCTGATTGGATATGCCTCCTTGCCAATACTAGCCAGGGTCCCCCACACAGAAGCAAGTCTCTCATCTGCGTCCCCATGAAAACCAAAGGTACATACTTCTAGGCTTATTCCCTTTGGCTGGTATGCAGGGCTTAGGCCCTGCATGCCAGCCAAAGTGATGATCCTTTCTATGGCCCAATTCTGCTTCTGCTGGGTGGAAATTTTTAAAGAATACTTTGCAGCCTAATTTTTTACAGGCCAGATTCCTATACAGGAAAACCTAGTTAATTCGAAATCCACTGAACCAAAAAATACAGACTTCAAAATAAGCGGGTTCGAATAATCTGGTTTGGCCATTGTTATTTTGTAATACTGTACTATTCAGCTGGATTTAGTACAGTAATACAGTACTAAATTTGCGTGTTTTGCACCTTATATTCTCTTCCTTGTGTTGGTTTCATGGCCACCTTCTGCCAACTATTCAATGGTGCCACAAATTTTTAAGGAATGTGGATAGAGTTGAAACAGTATGTCAAATTCTTTTGCGATATCGGTTTTCAATTCTTCTTTCTTGTCCACTTCACAACTTGTTAAATTAACAACAATTAACTTCCAACTTCTGTGAATTACTTAACTCGTTGTACTTCCTCTTGTTCGCCATGGCACATTCACCCCCGTTTCGCTCACAACACAGAGAGGGAGAGAGACTGTGCTGCCACAATGCAAAGGTTTTTGACTGAAGGTCATACAAGGTGTGAATGAGATAGGTAAGGGTAGAGGGAGAGATTTAGTGAAAGGGGGTATTAGTCTACATTTAGAATTATTCTGAATTTAAAAAATTAAGTTTCCAAGGCAATTAGCTGGCTTTGCAGCCATTTAGAGTGCAAAGTTTGAGACATCCATAGTTTGTAGGGAAAAGTGCTCTTTGAAGTAAACGAACACGTTTCTGAGTTTATAGCTCACAGGACCAGAAAATGCCTTTGAATTTCATAGTATCCGTATTTAGAATTATCCATACTATAAAGCATACAAATCACTATCCGATATTGAATTAACGAGGTTTTCCTGTAATATCATTGGCAGTACTTCATAGGGACTGTGCTCAATAGCCTATTGTAGCATTCTTGAACTGATGGGAAGGTCATACTTTCAAGCTTTTTTGTTAAAGGCTCCATACTTAAATTGTACTAATGCACCAGCAACCATTAGAATGTTGATGTGGCTTTATCTGCATCTTGTCCAGCTTTTTGCCCCATGTTACCCTGTCCCCCCATATAATAAAAAAGCAAAGAGAGGAACATGTGTGGGTATATGTGGTTTGACATCATGCTCCCTGTCTCATTTCTGAGAGAAGATAATGATATTTGGCCTTTTACAGGGAAAAATAATTAATTTATTACTTGCCATAAGTAGCTCTCTCTCTCACACACTTTTCAGCTGATACAAAGAATGAATGATGGCACTGGACTGACTTTCCCTTTCATGTCCAAGAAAACATTGGATATCCCACATTGCACCCAAGACCTACAAAGATACATTAACCCTCATCCGGGCAAGCTTTTTCACAACCTATTCCGGGCAAGGTGAGTCTGTCAGATTCATGTAAAATAAGGCCGTTTGCTGCAGTAACAGTATGTATTCTTATAAATAACAGTACTGTAACTAAAATAATACAGACAATTTATTCAATGGTCCTGATAGTTTAAAAAAATAATGACAGTAATAGACCAAAATATGTCGTAGTGAATCCAGTGGACTCACCTTGCCCGGATTAGGGTTAATGCTATCTTTTGGGAATAATGCTTTATGCATAACATCCCCATATTTTGCTGATTTGTGGGTCAAAATCTCTTAGGGGGACATGACTTGACTATTGCATCATAAATGTAAGAGACTTTTGAAAGATTGCATTCCATAATGCTGTCTGAAATCCATAAGAACAGGCCTGTTTTATGAAGCAAAAATAAATTTTAATGGAGTAAATTCAAGATTTGTGAAGCACATGGCCCAATGATTCTGAGGTGTGAGCCTCGCCCTGGTCCTAATGCAGTGTTGGTGGAGCTCCCTTTGAATAGGGGATGTCGATTTGGACAGTGATGCCCCCACACAAATCATGAATATTGACAAACAACCTACTCTCATGTTGACCAATTATACCAAGAAAGCTCTTGGCCTCTGAAACCAGGTGTTAGTCCTCAAATCCTATGCCTCTGTATCCATATACAGACCAACAAAGGGATTAGCCTTGCCTTTCCCAGTACAAAATTGGGATGGCAAAAGGCCAGTTGTGTTCTGGCCCCCCCCCCCCCCCTCCAAACTTGCAATCATTTTACTTTCTTCCTTAAAGTTTTTTATTTTTAATTTTCACCCTGACTTTAAAATTTCCCTTCAACCATTTTCTCCCAGTGGTAATAATCTGAGTAATTCAGCTTTGGCTGCAATCTAATCTTGTCCTGCAATGACTCATGCCTCAGTCTTATTCAGTGGCGGATACAGAAATTTTTCATAGGGGGGGCGGTTCCAAAGTTCCTACCCCCCCCCCCCCCCCCCCACCCCGCCTACCACCATTCCTCGTCCTTTCGCCTTTATTTTTC